GCTTTAAACTGCAAAACCTTCAATTATATCTTTTCTAAATTCAGTTTTACTGAATGTTTCAGATGCGTATGCTACCATTTCATTCCAAACATCACAGAAGGTTTTTTCATTTCTTAATGCTGTGTTTAGCAACAACATCTTGTGCTTTTTTTTTTTAAATTCATGTTTGGCAGATTCAATGTTTTTACTAGTATACTGGCTTGTGCATGTTCAAGAATTTATATGCCGAATAAGAAAAGTAAAATTGTAAGAAATAATACAAATCTGTATCTTAAGACTTAGCTAAATATTCACCTCTGTTGTCTACATAGAGAATATAGTTTTATTCAACTTCTAAAGAGTTATTTTGCTACGGCTAATCAACTATGCTATAGCTTGGCTAGTCATCAGTGTGTCTTGGCTTTCAACAAATCTTTGATGCTGGTTAAAACTGTTCACATGTAAGAGAAGTGTTGTGTTCATTTCTCATAGTCAGTAAATAAATCAACCAAAGCTATCTAGACTAGAGACCCTGCACACCATGTAGTACAATGATATTGTAAAGTAAGTAGCAGTCTCATTTTTAGACTTTTTATTGAAACAAAACAATATGGACCATTTTGAGAAAAAAAAACAACCTATGTTTTACCCTTCTAAAATCCCTACTGTCTTTGCAACCTTGTTTTTAGTTTGGGTTTTTTTGTTTGTTTGTTTTGTTTTGTTTTTTGCAGCCACAGAAATTGTGTAAAATAAATGGGGGGCTGTCCGGGATCCTTTTTGTTTCCATGGGTGAGTGTTTAATTAAGAAAATCCTCTTCAGCAAGAGTATTTTAGCTGTGTTGCTATGCTGTCCTCCCATCTAAGCATGTGTTCATTATTTTGCTTTGGTACATTACTAGACTTTGATAGTTAAGTGTATTTCTGGCCTGCTTCTGACTTTAGAGTTTATCATTAAAGGGCCAGACTGATATACACTGAAGAGATATGATACAGTATAAGACAATACAACGATAGTTTTTATTTATTTTTTTCTAATTTTTTAGTTCATTTTTATTTCTTAAGATGAGATTTTTTGAAATATTCCACGTTCTTGCTCCCAGTAGAAAGGTGACACCACTCTCAAGTTGGTACAGTAAATATGAAGCAACCAGCAGCATATCAGCAGACTGGCTTCTTGGCTTGTGCTAAAGTCACCTATTCACATAGCATGCTATATTAAATTTGTTCAATTAATTAAAACACATTTTCCATTTATACTTGAGAAGGCTTTGAGGATTGTAATCAGCAAGAAAGTACAGCAGATTACCATAGTTTAAAGAAGGAATGGCATTATTACTATTAGTAACATAAAGCATATTGCTGCAGTACATATCATATCAAGTGTGTTTGAAAGGTACGTCAAAGGTGTCATTATAAATCTGTGATACTTTTATACTAAACTCTTGATATACAAATACCTGAAATCATGTCTAAACTTGAACTTAGTAAAATTGATACCCTTATGACAAAAAGTACTTACTGAGGCAGTGACTTTGCTAAGAGCCAAAAATACATATTCTCTAAATCTAAACTTAATCTTTCAATGTGTAACCTCAAGTCAAACTTTGAGGTGTGCTGCTGAAAGGAGGGCGATGGGTTTTTTCATTAGAGATGGGAGCAAATGCAAACTCTTGCAAATGTGTGTATGTGCGAGTTTGTGACTCTCTGAGGATTCAGTCAGAGCTGGAGGTCGAGCCGGGGAATGATGAGGTGGCGCTTTCCTCCCTTTTATTCTTTTCTCCCTCTCTGTTCTTCCTGAAAGACAGATTGCATTCCATCCTCCCTGTAAAAAAAAAACCCGAACAGGCAGACACATGGATAATATGAAGGTATCTGCAGTGTGTGTGTGTGTGTGAGAGAGAGAGAGAGAGAGAGAGAGAGAGGAGGAGGAGTGAATTAGAGGCTTGCTTGGCCAGCTTCAGACTGTGCAACGTGTCTGATGCTGGTGGATCAGATGGCAGAAAGCTACTGTGTGTCTCCCTACAGCTCATCTGCTCCATAATGTCTGCTTTCTGCTTAATTACAGCTCACCTGCAGTCGGGCCGGCGCTGCACACAGAATACTGTTTGGGGGGGGGGCAGAGAACCTTCTATATAAACCTGTATTTGTACTGGGGGGGGAAATTCAACAGCAAAAAAGGGCTCTTATTATTTAGAGCCGATAACAATCATAATCTGTGCAAACCCCACAATTGTGCAGGTATTTCTAAACAGAGGCAGTTTTAGCCCACTGCAGCTGCTCACTCCAAAAATGCTAACATCTGGTTCAGTCATATGCTATTTTTTTAACAGTCATCTGTTATTTAATCTGTCATTTGATTGTTCCATCCTTATGGAACACAAGTTAAAATATCAAATACATAGTATGATGATTCAAGTAGATCTTAGTAGTCTTTCCAGCACTTTCAGACATAATATTCTAATTATGTTTGGGTTTTTTGTTGTTTTTTTCAAGTTTGCAGGTAAATTGTCTCTTTAAGGGTTCAGTTCTTATCAAGTCCTAAATTTCCAACTTCAGAGCATCTCAAAATGACTTATGTATTTGTTTTTCTCAAAACCTGTCGGGTTTTTGTTTTTTGGTTTTTTTACATTGACCATGGTGATATGATTTAACACATTTCTAAGCGTAAATGTTACACAAGATTACTATTATCTCATAAAGTGACAATTATTACACATGGTACCCTTTTTATGTACTGAGGCTCCAGTTCATCCAGAACTGAAGGGGACAGCATGAGTGGTCTAGTCTATCCGTACATGCTGAAGAAGAATAAGAACACTCACAGTTACAGAAAAAATTATTGTGCATTTGTTTACAAAAGTGTTGTTCAGCGTTTCTGTTTCTACTGTGGTGATGAAGGACCCACCAGAATTCTAAGGTGAATAAAACTGCACAATCAATCTTGTTAAAGCAGGTTTTTAAAATAACCGTCCCCAAAGTAAATGATTTTCTGTCTTCCCAGAACAGGTGTAAAAGAGGCTCTAATAGTTATGCAGTGGGCGCATACACAAAGCTTAGACTATAACGACCACCAGAGAGTTTCTGCTCTGGACATATGTCCCATGGTTTCATGTTTTTTGACACAAAAGTAAAAAGTAATCACAGGACTGATTGACGGACCTACAGTATCTACTTTTTAAAATGGAAAATCAGAGTGTGTTGAGTTATGATGACGTATACTGAACCAACCTCTGCAGCCCATTCTTTATCTCTGCTTTGGGCCTCATAAGTTACAATTAACATGCGAAACGGCACAATCATAGCTAGCAATTTATGATTTTGGCCACCCTTAAGGTCATCCACCTTTATTGTCCTTTTTACTATAATCGGGGTCATAATTTACAAAACAAACATTTTGTTGTACTCAGCAAGATTTAACAATAGCTATCATAATTAAAAACTCCCGAGGAAACAGTTTACTAGGGTCTGAGCTTTTATATAGTCAAATTTCTGTTTTTAGTCAGAAATTGGCTGGCTATTAGAAATAATGCATGTTTAGGACATTTCCGCTGTTAATTCCCTTTACAAACCCAGAAGCTACCTCTATATTTTACATGTGTTCTGTGAATTTGATAAGGAAAAAGGCCCCAAAAAATTGTGAAATAAACAGGATGACATGTGAAGTGTTTGAAATTAACAATCTCTTTACTAAAGTTTCCTGGGCTTACTGACGTAAGCATGTATTCCAAAGTTAGGAGAAACCAAACATGCAAACCCCATATAGAACAGGTCTACCTACCCGAGTGTGAATCCAGGAGGTGATAGTTTTAACATATTAGCCACTATGCTCGGTAATGTTCTGAATGTATTTCCATCAGACCTGAATCAGGTGATCAAAAACAATGACACAGTTCTACAAATGCTAACTTTTCTTGTGTCACTTATAATCCTATAGCAGAAAACAAATCCCTTCCGTCATCGACTTTCAGCAGATTCTTTTGGTTATTTATTGATTGTGATCCATGGACTGTCACAAGTGAGTTTTACTGGGACACTCCAGTCTTTTAGTTATGCAGTATAGTTTGTGGACTTGTGAAAGGCAGATTTCTCTTTTTACACACATGCATACTGTATTAAAATAAGTCATTAGGTGGACTTTGTCAGTGTGATGATCTATGTTCCAGTGTAAATGTCTTCCTCCCCCTCACCCCAACTGGTCACAGCAGATGTCTGGCCCTCTCTGATTCTGCTGGAGGTTTCTTCCTGTAAAAAGAGCTTTTCTTTCCGCTGTCACCAAGTTCTTGCTCATAGGAGGTTGTCTGATTGTTGGCATTTTCTATGTTACTTTAGAGTATAAAGCATATTGAGGCCACTGCTGTTGTGATTTGGCACTGTATAAACTGAAATTGAATTAAATTAAATGGAATCTGATAGAATCAAACTGAACTGAATTGAAATAGTTCTAAACATGGAGCATGTTATTATACAGTTCTTTGAACAATTTTTCCAAACCTGACATGAAACCTGCACGCTGATCACAACGAAATTTAGAAACTAAAGCAGAAGATACACATACAGCCTGAGGCAAGTGTCTGTGAGGCTGCAACCATGTTCAGGACATGTTAACACTCAAACAGATAAAACTATAAAAACACTCTGTTAAGCTGAAACAACTGGCTCAAATCTACTACCAAAACCCCAACTCAAACCAGAACTACAAGATGTAAAACTGGACTAAAAGTGATAGAGTCTGAGACATCAGATTGTGAAAATAAACCCAGAAAACTGAATCTAAACAGTCTTAGCTTTAGCTCAAATCAAAGCGAATCAGGAAGTGGACCACAACCAGGAATAAATTCTGGATTAAACCCGTGCCTGTTGCAGGAGATCCTCCTCCAACCGTCCGATGCTCTTATGGATCAGGTTTCCTCCTGCTCAGCCCCCCTCCCCTCCTGCTCCTTCCTCTTCTGATCCAAACTATAACCCTTCTGGTGTGGAGGCATGGAAGGAGGGACCTTCTGTTTTTCCCTTCTTCTTTCTCGCTGTTTTTTTTTTTTCCTTTGAAGGAGTCGTCCATTCTTGTCTTCCCTAAACGTGAGCAGAAGCAGCAACGGGGTAATGAGGGTGCGTCCCTACAGTCGGTCCAGTCTCCGGTACCTCCCAGTTCTTGAGGCTCCCATATAAAAACCCTTGTGGAAAGTCAGTGTAGGCAGTAGGGAGTTTTCTGCTGGGGTCAGGAGGATTGTGAACAGACGAGTGGATCCTGCCCCAAACACCCGTGTATGAGTGGAGTGTAGCAGAAAGAAACATCCCCAACTTTTTTTCCTCTCTTGCCTCAAAGAGTCTACATGTCTAGTGGCATCTAGACATGTTCAGCTTTGTGGATTTGCGGCTGGCGCTGCTGCTCAGCGCAGCAGTGCTTCTGGTCAGAGCGCAGGGCGAGGACGACCGTAAGTTTCATCACTGTTTACTGGAGCTTCTCAGACTTTTTCCCCTTTTACTTTATTGCATTTTTTTCTTTACTGGGTTTGGAAAGTGGATTTTCTCTACGTGGCTGGACGGCTTCTGAGATCTTAGAGAAGAGGAGAAAGGAAAAGTTTTAAGTAGAATTAAGTTTGCTTTGTTGTGCTCTATTGTCTCCAGACAGATAGACAGATAAAGCAGGGTGTGTGTAATGCATTGGGCATCTCAAGAAGGCCCCTGTCTCTCCCTCTCCTTGTGTTTGTCTAAGTCTCTCCAACCCCCACCTCCCCACCATGCATGCAGAGCGAGTTGCTGCAAGTTTTCCATTCTCTCCTCCAGGCGAGGGTTATCCAGCTGCATAGGTTTGAACCTCCCTTTACCCCAAAATTGGAGCATTCAAATGCCTAACCCTAATCCTGTGGCATTTTATCAGTTTGACACGACTACCTGCGTCAACTGTACCCATTCAAAAAATGGTTTCCACGAGATATGAGCCAGAAGGCGAAGCCTCTCACAGGCCTGATTGATGTGACAGGGAATTTGCAGCCTGAGGCCAAGTGCTGAGTTGGACAGGTGACTGAGAGGGAGAGTAGGAAGAAAACAGGGAGCGGAGGAGGAGAGGAGCAGGCGTAGTCTTGTCTGCCGGAGTATTTGACCTCCACAGCCTGAGCCAGCTTTCAGCTTTAGATCCCACAAAAGCTCAGGTGGACTTTTGAAGAGATCATTTTGCACAGAAAGAGAGGTCAGAGGGAAGCGGATGCCTCTGCTGGTGCTTAGAACAACCAGTATTCTCCTCTGAGAAGACAAAGGAAAAGCAGTTCAGCTCTGGAAACAAGAGCCCAGGAGGCGAAACTCGGTTTTTCCAGATGTTCCTCTTCTTTTGGAAAGGACTCAGCTGTGCATAAAAAGCAGATGTTTTCTGGCCCTCTGAACGATCTCACAACGCCACCCAGAGGCTGCTCTCAGCACTGCCAGACACATCTGGCCGCCACGTCCCCCCGTGCCATCCCCTCCCCCTCTTTTCTTTCCACTCTTTTTTTTTCTTCTCTAATTGCATCCACATGTGGAGTGTTTCCACCAGTCACTGCCAAGCCTACAGTCTGCAGTTCTCCAGGCGCTTCTTCTTTTCCCCTCTGAGCTCAGCACTTTGGTACGCTGGAAGATTTAAAAGCACTCTGAGCAGAGTCCCAGTTTGAGTTTTGCTGAGAATCAAATGCAGCCGCCACAGTGTCGGGGTGGAAAATATGACTTTGAGTTGATGTACAGGGAGATTAAATCCCATTTTACTGCGGGGTTAATCAGTGTCTGTGTGTGCAATGATGGCGTGACCTGCAGACAGACACGGCACACTGGTGCCCTCTCTGTCACCTCTGACCTGTTCCGCTCTGATTCCAAAGCCCCCCAGTTCCTGTCCACGTCTTTATCACCGCTAAGCTTTGTGTATTTATGTTGCTGCTGTCATTATTTCCTGTTTCAGACGTAGATTTTACACCAGTTTAGCAATCTATCTTTTTCTAACATTTTTCTCCAAAAAAGTGTTTTATTGAAACTATTTTTTTACTGTAATTCAAAATTCTCATCTCAGTTAATCCGTCTGAGTAAATTTGAGAACAAATCAAATTTTTTAATTTGAGAAAATGATCCACATATTCAGGGTTTTTTCACAATTTATTTTTAGCTTCATAATTAAAGCACTTTAGTTTCCTGCCCTAGTTTTACCTGGACTCCCACCAGTGTAGATACTGAGTCTGCATGTGCGTTCAGGTAGCTCTTGTCTCTTACCGTCCCTCTCCCTCTGTGTCGCCCCCCTCAGGCACGGGCAAAAGCTGCACTCTGGACGGCCAGGTGTTTGCAGACCGGGATGTGTGGAAGCCGGAGCCATGTCAGATCTGTGTGTGCGACAGTGGCACGGTGATGTGCGATGAGGTCATCTGCGAGGATACAACGGACTGCCCCAACCCCATCATCCCCCACGACGAGTGCTGCCCCATCTGCCCCGATGACGGTATAATAACTGCATCTCTCTCTGGACAAAGCACAGATACACAAAAGAGTTTTTGCACATCACATGTTCTCATTTAAACTGCCCCCATGACACGAATCCAGCATCTGTCCTCAATGACATGCCAAGAGTTACTGGTGTGAGTGAGACACTGTCTTTGAAAAATTATTTTTTAGTTTCTGTTTGAACACTTAAAGTATTATTATGAGCTTTTCTGGGTGCTTTCATCTGTTAATGCCAAACCTGTTTGCTCTCTGCAGGCTTCCAGGAGCCTCAGACTGAGGTAAATATACATTTTCCACTGACACTTGTAAATAGTTTGTACAACTCCCATGAGATCAGATACACATTGGACACACTGTTTTCTTCTTTTCACCACAGGGAACCGTGGGAGCTCGTGGACCCAAGGGAGACAGGGTAGGTTCACACCCTCTTCTTTCCTTGTTTTATTTGTGGAGTAACTTTTGGTTGTGTGGTGAGCTCAAGATCTGTCACTGTAATTCCTGTGTTTTTGCTGGAGCTGATCAGTTACACTGATTGAATGTAGCTCCATGTGTTTTAAATCAGGCAGATGTGGAAACGTGACTCAGATGACTTTGAAATGCAGTGAAACTGCAAACTGCTTTTAGCTTTCATTACACATCATACTTAATCTAAAACCATTTACCCATCTTCATGCAGTGAGGTGGGAGAAAACAGGATCTTACATGTAAAGTTTCTGTAAACTGTAGTTTTTGATTTGTGTTTTTAAATGTCACCCTAGGGCACTGGTTGTCCTTTGTTACATCCAATTTTGATAGTTTAAGTCTGGTTTTTTTACCTCACACAAAACATGATGAGGTCAGGTTAAATCCTGCAGAGCAGCATGACTTGGCTTCCATTTCAAAATCAAACCAAATATTATCATGGAGAAATATTATTACCTATATAAGGATTTGGTTTTTATCAATGAAAAAAACCAGGGAATTATGACTTCTGATTATTTATTTGGATTGGATTTGATTGAACCTTCATTGGTCACTTTACAAGTTGAATCTTAGACTGTAAAAGAGGCTCTGTGGATCAGCTGTGTTGTTTTTAAGAGTGCATTTAATAGTGTAATAATAATGTATTTCGTGGTGCTATTTTGGCTACCGAGCATGATGGTGACAAACAGGTGACTGTTCCTGGTTAGTCTCATAGTCAGCCTCAAAGTAAACTGCACCTTTAATGATTTAAAAGCCTTTGAAGACACAAACATGGAATCAAATATTAACCAAACATGTCTTCAATGATAAGGCCAGATCAGAGAAAATGCACGTGATTAATGGTTTAACAAATCAGTTTTCTGTCTTAGAGTATTGGACTGTGGACATCAGAACTTTTAATCCAAGTGACCTTCTTGAGTATGACCCTGATTTCCTCTATCTACAGGGTCCTGCTGGTCCCCCTGGTAGAGATGGTATGCCTGGCCAGCCTGGACTGCCTGGACCTCCTGGCCCACCTGGACCCCCTGGCCTTGGTGGAGTAAGTTGTTGAATTTTAGTTATTCTGTATTTCACTTATTAAAGGTCAATAGTGGCCGGTCAGTTAGTAACGTAACTATGTCGTTTAATGTATGCAAATGATTGACAGCATGTTAATCGTGCTGCAGCTAGAGCGGAAAAAGTCAACTGTCAAAGCTGAAGCCCAAATGTGATGTGATATTAGTGTGATGAGCTGTGTCTGGAGTTTGGCACAGTGTCTCTGATCAGAAGGTCAAGAAGTCATTACTAAGGATGAAACGACGCCTCATTTCCTTTTGAACGGAAAGCAGACAATATTCTGGAAGTGGACAAACTTTAGAAAGTTAGAGTTTGCTAAGCTACCATTTTTAATTTTAGAGGTTTATTTACATTCTAATATACCCACTGACTCCAGGTCTGATTTAGAAATCTGATCTGGCACCTCCAAAGACTGAATTCTGCTACAGGATCATTGTTCCACATGCTAGGCTAGCACTGCATATCTTCATGCCTCTGTGCAGCCTGTTGTTGACATGACTGCTAATATACCAAAAATATTGATTGAAAATATTTTAAATAGTAACAAAATATAATTTATTATTTGCTGATTCATTTTACCATTTGCCTCTGTGCTAAAATGTTAAAAGAACACACTGTCATATTCTTTAATGAGATACTTAGTTAACATTCAAAGCTAATTTGCATTTCTGTATCTTGCTTAAACATGAGTCCATACTTATGTAGAATCAACTTCTAATTAAATATTCTATGTTTCAGTTTGCCAATAACTTCGACTACATATGGGTATGATAAAGTAATAACTATAGCGTGGATAACATGTATAACTTTACCGAGGGTTAGCATGATGCTGTTTTAGATATGGTTAAATATCAACGTCAAATTTTCCATGATTCAGGATATTAACATCTATTAACATACTTCAGCATTCACTCCATGTAACCACAGTTCAGTAAACTCCTACAGTCTTCCCTGTGTATACATTATCAGTGACATACTTCTATGCCAATGGTCCACGTTAAGCTGGACAATTAGAGACTTGACAGTCACCATTAACATATGTTTGACTTCAGACAGAATGTTCCCTATCTACATTATACAGTATGTTTCCTCCAGAGACACCTTTAAATACTACTGTTGAGGTCAAAGGTCAATGACTTGATACGCACTGCTCATTTTAGAACTGGATTGTTATGAGTGGCATTAGCATTGAGATTCCATATCATCAAATCTGCTGCTGCAGTTTTGTTATTGTGTTTGCTTTTATTTGGAAATATGAAAAAATTATGCAGTGCATGGTAAAAGAAACAACAGACAACTATACTTGATGGAACATGACACAACTATGCATGATTTAGATATTTAATTTGGACTATGGCTCAGATGATGCAGAATCAGTGATTCTATTCAACTGGAAAAAGTACATTTAGTGTTGAGATTTGAAATGCATTGCTTTACTCATAGCTAACATGTAGCCTATGTCATGTCACAACACAGATGGAATTTAATATTTTTTCATCATAAAAACAATCATTTTGGTATTTTTTGTGAGATTAACATGTCTGTGTTTATTTTTTTCCAGAACTTCTCCCCTCAGATGTCCGGTGGCTACGATGACAAATCTCCTGTCATGCCTGTGCCTGGACCCATGGTAGGTTACATATGTATTTAAATACACTATATTCAAAATATTTCCATGCGCAGCATCTGAGCTTTTCTCTGTTGGATTGATAGGGCCCAATGGGACCCCGTGGGCCTCCTGGACCTCCTGGATCTAGCGTGAGTATATGATGGGGGTTTCTATGCTTAGGTTAAAAACTGAAACCTGGCATGCTAGCTGGCATGAATCCAGTCCTTCCTTTTTCTGCTGCAAATAACACAAAGACTGTGTTTTTTTCTGATTGATTACTATTAGGAAGTAGTATTGATATTGATTACTGTTAGGCTGCAAAAACACCTTTTATTTTCTTGAAATAAATTTTGAAAAATTAACAAACTGCTGCTTACAGTGTGTTGAAAAAGTGAGTAGCATCAACATATTTGGTGTAGTGATGGTGTTTGTGTTTGTTACCAACTATAGGGACCTCAGGGATTCACTGGCCCCCCTGGTGAGGCTGGAGAGCCTGGATCTCCTGTGAGTATTCAGGACAGGGAAACAAATGCCACGTTGCACTTTGCTGTGATGTTAACACTCTCACCTTATGTTTGATTTTCGCTTCAGGGTGCCATGGGTCCCCGTGGAGCTGCCGGCCCCCCTGGAAAGAACGGCGAGGATGTAAGTGCACTGGATTGATATCATATCAGTTCATCTACATCATATCAATATATATTATATAATAATTATTTAATATATATATATATATATATATATATATATATATATATATATACTAATAAATATATATATATATATATAATAGATGATATACATACATATATATCAGTTTAGACTGTGGAATGTCTTGAGCCATCATTTCATCCCCATCTCCCCAACTCTCTTTCTCTCAGGGTGAGTCTGGCAAACCAGGTCGTCCCGGTGAGCGTGGACCTTCTGGCCCTCAGGTAAGTTGCTGATTCTTACCACCGATATGTAAAACAAAAACAGAGCTGAGATAATAACTTTTGTCACTTCCTTGTTTTTTTTTTCCCAGGGAGCTCGTGGTTTCCCAGGAACCCCAGGTCTGCCTGGCATCAAGGGACATAGAGTGAGTCAGAACTTGTGCCACCCCATTCAACTCATATTCAACTCAAAATAAAAAAGGTTGAAAGTCGTGGCTGGAAACTTCATCTTTGCATGTCTCTTATTCTGTGTAGGGATTCAGTGGCCTGGATGGTGCCAAGGGAGACAGTGGCCCCGCTGGACCCAAGGTGACTGCCCCCCCTTGTTATAACACTTGTTCTCACTACATAAGTTGTGGAAAAAAGTCACCCACAGGTGGGCTACTTCACTTATAGTGCAGTGGTGAGTAGCTGTAATTGTAGCAGTGCTATAAATGACAGTAGTAGTTGAAAAAGTAGTTGTAATATTGCCACTAATATCTAACTCATAGTGGTCCTGGTGGTAGGAGCACTAGTGCCAGAATTTGAAGTACAATAAAATTAATCGCATTTAATTGTAATTATAGACAGCACCATATCACAACTCCCTTTTAACAGGAAGACATCTCTGGCAGAACTATCAATATGGTTCTCAAATGAGTACCGTTTAGTGTTTAAAGAAAGACTGAAAAAATTAACCTATAGATGCAGAAAAATCATTAAAAGTGTCTAAAACAGTTTCAGCATTTCCTAAATTATAACCAGTCTATTTTCTTCACCTACCACTCCACCGACAAGTTGGTCATACAACATATTTTAACCTAAAGCTAAATACTACTAGTATTAACAGCTAACAGTTTGAGTATCAATGTGGACAGTAAAAGCTGTGGCTACAATAATGCTACAAAAAGCAGTAGTATCAACCATTTAAACACTAGCATGTTACATTAGCAGTCACTGGCTACTTTTTAGTTATAGCAGCTTGATTGGCTAAATGCTGCATTGACAAGCATAATTTCTGAAAGTTTGATAAAGTTTCTAGAATTTAATTAATGATTCTAATCTTCTCGCCGGCCCGTGTGTTTCTGTCCATTTAGGGAGAGGCTGGCACCCCTGGTGAGAATGGAACCCCTGGTGCTATGGTGAGTAAAACAAGCACCCCGTCTCTGCTACATAATTATAGTAGTATAGTTTCTTCTCTCCACAACTGATTTTGGCTAACTGACGCTGTCTTTGTCTATCTCAGGGACCTCGCGGTCTGCCTGGTGAGAGAGGCCGTGCTGGTGCTACTGGAGCTGCTGTGAGTCCATACATTACATAGTTGAAATTAGTGAAATCAATTAATTAGTGAATTGAGAAACCAATCGACCACTCACGTTTGTCTTTGACCTGCAGGGAGCTCGTGGTAACGATGGCGCTGCTGGTGCTGCTGGACCTCCTGTAAGTCTTTCATTGTCCAAAGCTTCAGTTCTTAAAATCTCAGCTTTGTTAGCACTGACCCAAAAAGATGCACTAAGTATATCTGAGTATCTGTGTTTTTGTTCTTCTCAGGGTCCCACTGGCCCCGCTGGACCCCCTGGATTCCCCGGTGGCCCTGGAGCCAAGGTATAAACTGCTCCTGACCCGCTCCAGTAATCTTCAGTGCTATCCATTTTTCTTCTGAAAAGCAGTATAATCTATTTCCTCTCCTCTCTTGGTTGTGTTTTTACTGTGCCGACTTTAAAGAATTTATTTTCTGGAGCATGTAGGTAGCCAACACGTACACCTGACCAAACATCTCAGCTCCTACTACTGTTCGAATATGAACAGTAACTATTAAGAAATTAGATGGATGGGCGCTATTTTTATTTTTATTTTTTGCAGAGTTCTCAGTATATTTTAAAGCTTATGATAGAAATTCACAGTAATTGTCTGTGCATGTGGAACTGGGTCATAGCTGAAGCTGTGGGGTTCTTTTTGGCTGAGGTTAGATGTTGAGTGTTTTCTCTAAAACAAATCTTCTGTTTATGCCGACAATTTTATCTTTTTTTTTGTCTTCCACCACCAAGCTGTTTGTATTACTAAATAATCTTTTCTTTCTCCCCAGGGTGATGCTGGAGCTCAGGGTGCTCGTGGACCCGAGGGCCCTGGTGGAGCTCGTGGTGAGCCTGGAAACCCCGGACCTGCTGGCCCAGCTGGACCAGCCGTAAGTATGAGTGACTGTAATAAAGATCCTTGATGAAAACAACAACAAATGGGCCACAAAAAATAGGCCACTAGAATCTGATTCATGGCAAAATAAAACAATTTACATTATCATTTAAATTGTTAAAAGAAATTTTAAAAAATTCTGCCTTCTGGGACAATAAATAAACTTCCTTCTTTCTCCTCTCAGGGAAACCCTGGAGCTGATGGAGCCGCTGGAGCTAAGGGAGCACCTGTGAGTATCTTTAAACAAATTTACTCTATTTTTAACACTTTCTTATTTTTACTAAAGCTACAGATAGTCATCACTTTTTCTACAGCATGACATTAAATGACTGTATTGTTGTGTGCTGCCCCCTACAGGGTGCTGCTGGAGTTGCTGGAGCTCCTGGTTTCCCCGGACCCCGTGGACCCCCAGGACCTCAGGGTGCTGCTGGTGCCCCCGGACCCAAGGGTAACACTGTAAGTACAGATCTCTTAGATCCAAAAAAAAAAAAAAGCAAAATCACCCAAAAATTTTAACTTGTATGTTTTGTGTCAATACTTTGACAGTTACAACCTACAGAGATAAAAACAAAAGTTAGAGATTTGTTTTGGGCATTTGTTGTTTGCTGAAATTATTTTTCTTTTAGATTTATCCAAATAATAGTAATTTCTCCCTAGTTTGTAGTTTGTTTCATTTTATGTTTTCTTGTTTGTTTGTGTCCCGTAGGGTGAGGCCGGTGCCCCAGGATCCAAGGGAGAGCCTGGTGCCAAGGGAGAGGCTGTGAGTTCACCATAGATCATGACAGAGCACACTGCACTAAAATTATGTGTGGATCAGCCTCTTATGCCACATTACATGTTACATTGCTCTTCTACAGGGTGTTTCAGGAGTTCAGGGACCCCCTGGACCTCCCGGTGAGGAGGGCAAGAGAGGAGCCAGAGGAGAGCCTGGTGCTGCAGGAGCCCGTGGCGGCCCTGGAGAGAGAGTATGCATCTCACTGGATTTCCACTTTATACGTACCCTAGTCTGTAAAATGATGGCAGAGGGACCTCTAGTGGTGTTTCAACACAAAGGACAAAAGACTGAAATCTTTATACTGATGGTCTAATCTAAATGATTGAGATTACTTGTGTGCAGCTGTAAACATTACAAAGGTTAGTTTGACTGAAAAAGCAGATTAATCTCTGCTTGGAATGAAAACATAATAAACACCATTGGGCTCTTAATCATGATGTAAACAAACACTCTAATGAGTGAGGTTCAAAATGTTCCCAAAACATTTGACCAAGAGTTGGCGGTCACTGCCATTGTAGACTGTCTCTAATGAGTGAGGTTCAAAATGTTCCCAAAACATTTGACCAAGAGTATTACAGATATGGACATACTGAGTGGTGCTAGTACTAAGATAGAAACATTCATTTCATTGGTTAAAAGCATTAAGTCTTTTGGATGTTAATTTAAGTTAAAAATGATGCCAGAGACCTGAGGCCCAGATTTCTCTGATGGAATTCGACTGTATGCATGATACAGGGTGTTTAATTTTAAACCTACAGTTCGGACACATTTCTGTTTAAACACTTTTTACTGTTCAGAGCTAAGCAGGACATGTTTGATTGTCTTTACAGGGTGCCCCTGGTGGTCGTGGTTTCCCTGGTTCTGATGGCCCTGCTGGACCCAAAGTAAGGAAAATGCACACATACATACAACAGATATAAACCTTAATTCCGCCCACAGGCTTCCACAATTTTTGTTTAACTAATTTTTAAATCTCCATCATTCTTATTTTCTTCTTAGGGTGCCCCTGGTGAGCGTGGTGCCCCTGGTCTTGTTGGAGCTAAAGGTGCCACTGGTGAGTCTGGCCGCACTGGTGAGCCCGGTCTGCCTGGAGCTAAGGTGGGATAGCATACTGTCTGTCAAATAATTCTCTGCAGCATAATTTATTCATTATACCCAGTCCCTCCTCTGACCTCTGACCTCTGCTTTGTAGGGAATGACTGGCAGCCCCGGCAACCCTGGACCTGATGGCAAGATGGGACCTTCTGTAAGTTTGTATGCAGTACAGTTAACCCTAGTTCTTATAATTTATGTCAAGAAATAGCAAAACCCTTAACATGCTTAATCTTCCTTAACAGGGAGCCCCCGGACAAGATGGCCGCCCTGGGCCTCCTGGCCCTGGTGGAAATAGAGGCCAGCCTGGAGTCATGGGATTCCCCGGACCCAAGGGTGCTGCTGTGAGTAGTGTTACAACATCTATACATTATATTTAATCATGCTTAGTAATAGTGGGCATCTAAAATATGGTCTCCGTGTTTTTTTGTCTATAGGGTGAGCCTGGAAAGCCCGGTGAGAGAGGAACCATGGGACCTACTGGACCTGTTGTGAGTGCTCAATATTCTGCTGTTTTCTTTCTTGTTATCTATCATCAATGGTAGGATTGTGTGTGTGAAAGCCTTCTATCTCTCTACCCAGGGTGCACCTGGAAAGGATGGTGATGTTGGCGCGCAGGGCCCCTCTGGACCTGCTGTAAGTAAACAACACTAACTGGCTACACTTCGATATTAGCACCCAAGTTTGTGTTGATGTCTCTCTACAAAGTACTGAAA